GCTGCTCCCACTTGACGTTTCCAGATTCTCCTTCACTTCTGTGGCTTCCCCTTTTCTCCTCTTCTGCCTGAACGAGATGCTCCCTAACACTCTGCCTCACGGCGMTGTCCGCGGGTCTCTGGCAGTGCTAATTTCCCCAAGAACTTTATTCACCCATGTAATTTCTCTGGGCAGCACCCCCAAAATACACCCTCACTCTCTTCCGAGCTCYCTGTCACCTTTACTCTGGAGTCAGCCCTGTCTCTGGCTCTCCTGCTTTTCTGGCTCACAGCACTCATTCAGCGAACCAGGCTTAGGATTATTAGGAGTCAAGGATACTTGTTTACTTCTCCAATTTCACCACAGTGAACAGAGAATCAAAGATAGCAATGCTATTTATTGACCTATTAAAATACCTAACTTTGATGACAATTCCCAAAGAACTATAGGTTAGGCATCCCAAATCTCAAAACCCCAAATTGATAATGCTCCAAAATTCAAAACTCTAAAGTTTGGCTTTTGGATTAGAGATGATCAACCAGGAAAGTCTATGCAAATATTCTAAAATCCAACAGAGATCTGAACTCTAGAACACTGTGGGCCAAGCATTTTAGATAAGGGGCACTCTGTATGTATACACAGCTTAGGAACATGGTCCAGTCTCCAGTCCCACGTCCCCAAGACTGAGGGCTCCTGTTGATAACTGGATGTGACTCCACGTCACACAGCTCTAGTCACCTTATTCCACCATCTTTGCCCAGTGTTTTGTGGCAGCCCTTCTCTGCCCTCAGGCATGGGCTAGGCATTGGGAACACAGAGGCAAATGACACAGACTTGGTCCCTGGTGACCAGAGCTCGCATCCTGGTCAAGGTTACCTTTAAAGATCACAACACAAGCACCTTTCTTAGTGGACGTGCTATGAAGAAAATAGACAAGGAGATGGGCATGTGATGCTCGGGGACCAGTGGCAGAACTTTGGCTGGGTGGTGTGGCAAAGGGTGACCTTGAGTGGGATAAACATGGTGATGAGAAGCCAGGGCCCATTAGAGGAAGTAGCAGGTGCAGAGGCCACAAAGGTGGCAGGAGACAAGGTCTGGGAGGTGCGCAGGTGGCCGCGTGAGTGGGGCCTGTGAGTCACAGCAAGACTCTGTTCTCAGTGTGGTACAGAGTCCCCCAAAATAAAGAGGCTCACTTTAGTTAAAGACAACTGTCAGAACAGAATAACGAAGGGTAGCATTATTATTCAATCAAGTTTATTTACATAGAAAAAAAACCTAAGGGAAAAATCAAATTTGTATGTATTTGTGTGTATGAAATTATTAATGCTTTTTTTAAAAAGGAAATGAAAATCAATTGGAGAAAAAATAATTTAGTCAGTATTTTCTATAAAAATGCTCTAAGTCATTATTATGAGAAAGGAGTCCCCATTTTTTACACACACACACACACCTCTGCAGTGGCATAAGACAGTATTTTATGAAGTTGTACAGAAATACTACCTGTCAAATACTATCTTTTCCATATACAACCCAAACTGTTAAGGTTATCTGAATAAGTAATCCCTGGTGTCTGTTACAGAAGGCTTTTAATAGAATGTGCCTTGACGATTTATTACTAATCCTTCCAATACAATATTGCTAGTTAATTTTGAGACTGCATAGAACTGTGTGAAACACTACTTGAAGTATCAATAAAGAGCTCAAGTAAACGTACTCGATGTTTTGATTATCTTTTCTCCAAAGACTTTGTGTTAGAACGCAGGCTATAATATTAAACTCTATTATTGTTTATATGGTTTCCTCAGTTGCATACATCTCAGCATCTTTTACAGGTATATGAGGCAAATGCTCATATTCATCTATTCAGGCATAAAACTAGTGTTTACTTTGTAACTTTCTGTCAGTGCCTGACAATCTCATAATATGGAAAATCACAAGAAATCACAAGATAGGATAAAGTGTTCCACTTGCTGGTTACAATTTACTAGATTTCACAACCCTCTTTTCCCCAACCTTAGGAGAAACATGACAGAAGAGTTGAATTTATCTGTAAAAAGCAAATGTAGTTGGGTGTGCTTGTGCATACTTGTAGTCCCAGCGACTCAGGAGGCTGAGGCAGGAGGATTTCAGTTCAAGGCCAGCCTCAGCACCTTAGTGAGACCCTAAACAACTTAGCAAGACCCTGTCTCAAAATGAAAAATAAAAAGGGCTGGGGAATGTGGCTCAGTGGTAAAGTGCCCCTCAGTTCAATCCTCAGTACCAAAAAATAATAATAAAAATTAAAAAATAATAAAGTAAATGCAGTTAGATGGTCATCACTCCACCCTCATTCACAAACTCACTTTTCTGAGTCTCGACAATCCAATTTGAGATCACCTTAAATAAGCCTTCCCCTTTTAGCAGCCCTTTGTTTTTTACAATTAAAGTGATTCACTAGAAGTGGGAGTGAGCTGGTGTTTCTTACATGACATGGGAACTATACACAAAGAGTGTATTAGTCTGTTTCTATCATCATAGAGGAATACCTGAGGCTAGGTGATTGATGCTGAGAGCCATTGACGCATGGCAATTTMTTTGTCAGCCTACTCCATGTTGCTTAGAGGAAGGACTCTCCATTGTGGAAATGGGCTTGCTTTTGGACCCAGGTCATTTGCAGTGACATTGCATGTATGCTTGAGTAAGGTGACCTTGCTCAAGGACCAGGGCAGATCCGGGTTTAGGGTGGATCAGGTTTTAGGGAGTATCCTGCTCCTTGGGTTTAGGGCAGTTCCAGGTTTAAGGTGTACCCTGCTGGGAATAGGGCGTATCCTGCTGCCTCAGGCACGCCCGCTCCTTGAGTTCCCCGCTGGCTCCTTGAGTTCCCCATTGAGTTCTCCCGGGATTCAGAGAGTATTTGGGATTCAGAACGTGGATTTTGCGCAGAACGTGGATTTCCCCAGAACGTGTGTAGAGTGCCGGTGTGAGTTCGGGAATAAAGAGTTGCTGTTTGAATCTACAAGGCGTGAGTGGCTCGTGATTTTGTGCCCAGCCAGACCACGGCAGCTTTATTTTAAAAAGAGGTTTATTAGCCAACAGTTCTGGGAATTCAAAGGCGTGGCACAGGCATCAGCCTGGTGACATCAGCTTAGCTCTGGTGAAGCCCTCATGGCAGATGGCATCCCAATAGCCAGAGCAAAGGCGAGGGCAAGATCACATGGTGAGACAGGAAGCCAGGGAATGATGCGGGAGCACTACAGTATTCCCAAGGCACATCCCCAATGACCTAGGGACTCCCACTAGGCCCCACCTTTTAAAGGTCTCAATCTCTTCACGTCCCCAGACTGGAAATCAAGCTTACAACCATAAACCTTTTGGGGATAAACCACATTCATATCCAAACCAGAGTGAGAAATGAAGCTTCACTGGATAGAGCACTTGCTACTGTGGAGGGCGCTATGCCCTATGACCCATGATGGTTCACTTCTGTCCCCTTTGGCCAAATTCTCTGCCTGGAACCATCCGTTCCTTGTTCAGGTTCTGCCGCCCTAATCTGGTGAAACCAGAGAAGGGCTGCTGGGCCTGATCTGGGCTCCGCAGATCCCAGCGTGAAATCCCAGGCCTCCAGCTGACGCTGGATTCTTGCCCAGGAAAGGTGGTCAGGGCCCTGAACACAGTGGTGTGTGGCACAGCTGAGCAGGTACCAACTGCTCGGCTGTAAAAGACATTCTCCAAGGAGAGGGTAGTGAAGGAGCGTGGGCTGCAGAGGTGGACTGCTTGCATCCTGGTCCATTCCCACTGCTGAGCTGGTGGCCTGGGCCATACGCTCCACCCTTTTGAACCAAAGCCCCCGAAACACATAAACACTCAGAACAACAGCACGCATGCTCGTCAAGCCTTTTATTATTTTTCACAGGACAAAGCATATGTTTTTTCTTCTCACATAGTTCTTCCTTCATTTTTATATTCCAAGTGAATTGACAATCAATTATCTGGTATGTGGACACATGTGCACCCATGGGGATACTTCCTGACTTCATGATGAACGTCTCACCACTGTGGGACTCGTGGTCTCATAACTTGAAAGATAGTGGGGATTTCACAGTACTCCTCTTACTTAGCATATATGCTTGGAGTGTTGTGAACCAGTTCTTCTACTTATCCAATTTTGGGGATGGGGATTTACCAAGCTGCATGTCCATTACATCATTGCCCATTACTTTACATCTCCCCCATTCAGCACATGGAATAGGACGGAGAACAAGACTACAATCCATTGTGATCAGACTCTTCCCATTTTTCCTGGGGAGTCAAAGCCCCCTGTGTTTATAGTCTAAGAGTCCCCAGGTCCCAGGTCTCAAACAAGTGGCTTACTAGTTATGTCCCAGGTTGAACTCACTTTCTGACCTTCTATCCACATCTGTTGTAAAGAAAAATGAACACAAAACAAGAATGCAGCAAAACACTACAAGAGCATTCTAGTTTTGAATATTTTTCAATTTTCTTGTGCTGCATAACAATGAGCTATGGTGTGTCACCAATGTGTGGTATAATTAACTTCTCGTCTTTTGTTCCTTATGAATTTACATATCCAATTATCTTTCTATTTAATTTCTCACAGTTTTGCTACATTGACTAAAACTTTTTAACAGGAAAGTTTTTTAATTTAATGGACTTTGCAGTTCATTTGTAACCAGTCAGTTTTTAAAGTCAGTTCAGGACTGTTAAATGCTACTGCAGAATACTATAAAAGTTCCCTGGCAGAACTTGGAGTACCTGGCTATGTGTCTACAAGGACAATTGCTGAGAAAGAATATGTGGGTGAAAGTACACAGTGGCCAGGAGTAGTGCAAAGATGCAGCAGAGCAGATTATGGGAAAAGGATGCTCATTTTAGGCAGCCTGGCTCTTTGGTCAAGGGTACTTGCCTGGTGCACCGAATCGAAGTCAGTGTCAATGTGGTGTGGCTAGACACACTGTTTTGGCCCCACCAGAATTTCTGGTTTGTTTCTTCTGAGATCTTTGCATCAATTTTTCTGTTGAGGCAGATGCAATTAAGAGGTTCATTAATTGTGGGGCATTCCGGTCTCACGAAACACCTATCTGCAGACCCACTGCAGCACCGAGTGCGAATGTGGAGGAACACAAGGGGCTGTGGATGACCTCTCATGCCTCGGTGCTCGGCTTCTGGATGAGTTTCGTAAATGGCAATGTATGTGCAAAGGTGACTTCTGGAGCCACCAGGGAGGCCAACTCAAGTCCTGATGTGTACTGACTGTATTCTGGTTCTACTGTCAGCAATACCAGAAGTCTTAGAATTTAACAATGAGAAGGGGTACTCGACTCCTTGTTAAAATAAGTCTCCATGGCTCGTAATATGAGAGACAGCTATTTGTTTTGCCAGGAAGGGAAGGAGATGACCTTTGCTTTGCCTAGCATTTTGGGGAGTCATGACCACAATTTAATATAATCAGATGCAGTTTGTTCAAGGAATTATCAAAGATCACATGTGAATACCAAGTTGGGACTGAGGTCAATAGGTAAACATTGATCAGGCACTGCCAGAAACAATCTAATTCAAAAGCAGAGCTGAGAAATACACCATTAGGAGAGCTTACACAAACAGCCAGAGACAGTCTAATGTCATAATAACTAAAAATTATTTCCAGGCTCCTTCTCTCCTTTTCAACAGAAGGCAGCTCTATTTTAATATAATTTAGGATGGGCTCCTGCTCTCTGGTTTATGCCAAAGGATGTAAATTCACAACCCTGCCTGGTCCACTTTTACATTCCAGCAGGGGCTGACTTGTGTGCTGCTGCTGATTCTGGTAAAAACAAAACAAAATCAAAATATTATAGAAGAGGAAGGTGGACAGACCACCAAGGGAGGCTCACTACTGCTTCATCAGCTCCATGAGATCGTCTTCTATTCCTTTCTCATTCAGCTCATCTAAACTGTAGTATCGGTGAACAATTTTCTCAGCGGTGACAACCACAACTCGGAGCCCATGGGTGTCTTTGCCCAGCTGGCATCCGATGGCAGATGATACCACCATGTCGAGGTTCTTGTAGGTGCCCCCAGCATTCCTGTGGTAGTGGCCTGAGAACACAGCTCTGACACCTGCAAGGAAGGAAACAGGACATTAGGGGGCCCAGGATTCCCATGTGGGTCATGGGTGGGGGGCGCCGGTGTTATTCTGTGAACATTGTTATATTAAATGCATAACATTATTTTGTGTGTAATTAAGGAAGCAGCCTATGTGACATCCAGAATCTTTTCAAGGATAATTCATACAAACAATGTATTATTAATAAGTTTATTGTAACTAGGACAAGAATGAACATGATGAGAGAAGAAAGATAAGGTGAGTGACTTTGGGAAGAGACAAAGGAGAGAAGAAAACCCAAGTTGATATCCCCATGACAGTGGCCATGCGTGCACAGCCATAGTGCTGACAGGCTGGGAGCTCAGTGGAGCGCATTGTCCAGCCCGTGTGAAGCCTGGGTTCAATGCCTGGCACTGCAAAGATAACGAAAACTTCAGAAAATGTTTATCATGTTCTGATCAAGAGAGCAGAACTCACTCAATATTTGATGACCCTCCTCTGCTCCAAACTTACAGCCACGATAGATGAAACCCAAGAAAACCAAAGGACATGAGTAGGCTCAGCAACACAGTAAATATCCGTACAAAAAGGCAAAGTATGAGTGAGACAAAAATGTGGCTGGAATTAAGCTCTTGAAAGTCAGAGGTGGAAAGCACCTTCTTGAGAAGGGGAATGACACAGGCCTTTGCTTGACACGGGCTGGTGGGGGAGCTCTGCTTACAGGAGATGGAAGGACCGGCCACTCAGGGATGGGGCAGTGGCATGCTGGGCAGTGCTCAGAAGCTGTGTGAGTGGGGAGACCTGTTAGCCAGGTCTGAGAATTTCCAGTGTGAATACTCCAGTCAAGGTTGTCGGGTTGCCAACTCGATGTCACTGAACTGGGGTGGGGAGGGACGGATGCTCAGCATCACACCATTACAGTGTCTCCACCACACAGCTGCAGAAGCTGTAAACCACCCTGGCAGTGGAGACAAGTCGTAGTAGCAAAAGAACTAGAGTGTATGATGAATTCTGAGTATTTATGACCTTTGCCTTTTAATCTACAAGTATCTCTCAATATCCATGGGGGCTTGGTTCAGGATCCCCCAGGGATACCAATATCCAGGATGCTCGAGTCCCTCACATGGAGCCGCATGGTGTCTTTGTTTAATCAACGCACATCCTGCTTAGTTTAAAGCACCTCCTGATAACATGTAACACCTAGTACAGTGTAAATGTTATGTAAATAGTCATACTGTATTGTTTGTAGGAGAATGACAAGAGACAAATCTGTATATGTACAGTATAGATGTCATTTTCCAAAAACTATTTTTTGATCTGTGGTTGGTTAAGTACAGAGTGCTAACTGTAATTTAATGGAGAAGTTAAATAATTTACTCTTAAATTAAAAGCTGTTTAATAACCAGTTTGCAAAATCCCTTAGGATCTAATAATCATGGGAATGGGGGTGTAGCTCAGTGGTAGAACACATGTTAGCATGGGTGATGCCCCAGGTTCAATCCCCCTCCCACATATAAAATTAACAATTGGTTCTAACAAGCTGGCAGGAAGTGACTGCAGCACACCATTGGGCCAGGGCTCCTCACCACCCGAGGAAGGACAGACACAGGCTCACATCTATGTACTGACCCATGTGTCCCTGATATTACTCCACTTCCATTATGAGGCCTGGTCTGGGAAGGGGTCAGGAGAATGTGACCAAAACCACCAGACACGGAGATGTTAGTCAAGAGAGAATAAAAGAAAAACAAACAAACAAAACCAAAAACAACAACAACAGAAACAAAAGAATATCTAGTCCTCAAATCAAACCTGCAATAAAACATTCTACCACCCGTGAAGCAGTCTCATGCTAAACAAGACAATCCATAAACTCTTCCATCACGAACTTCAAATGAAATTAACTACATGAATCTGTCTGGAAAGTATTTAAAATCAATATGTTGATGTCCAAGAATCCTTAATGAAGGACTAATATCCATAAAAAGAAAATGTTATGAAACAAAACAGGAAAAACTGAATGAAAATAGGCAATAAAAATTTTAAAATGGTGGACATAAAAGATCCATTAAAAATTTAAATAAAAACAACCCTCAATAAATGGGATAAATTATAGATTGGACACTAGTCAAAGAGGAAAATTAGTGAACCAAAATGGAGAATGGGGAAAATGAGCTAGAAGACAACAGAGAGACCCAGATACAAGCAATATGAAGCTGTTCAAAGAACGTGAGGAGAGGAATGAGGTACCAACAGACGATTAAGAGGAATTGGAAAAAGGGAAAGGAGAAAATAACAGTGAGAAGAATTTTAAAAAATAATACCAGAGAATTTTCCAAAAGGGAGGAACTTGTGGGTCCTCAGATAAAAAGTACTAGGTAGGAGACATAAAAATTATTTCATATTGACATGTAATGTAGTAAAATTATGGTATATCAAAGAGAAAAAAGAAAACCTTAAGAAGATATTATGGTGAAGATATTACACAGGAATGGCAGTTAGAGAGTAGATATCTCGGCAATGACAGAATCAATTTGAATACCTTCAAATTGCTCAGGGCAAATAACTATGAACCTAAAATTTCATACCTGGCTTAACTATCATTTAAGTCTGAGGGCAAAATAAGGATATGCTTATAAATATAAAGACTAAGAGTTCAATACTCCCAAATCATCACTAAAAGAATTATTACTCCTAATTATTACTCCTATTTCAGCAGAGGAAAGGATGAAGTATTAAAACACAAGGAGTTAATTCTAATAAAATATTTTGGCAAACTGAATTAACTACTGATTTTTTAAAAATCTCTATTTAATATTAAAAGTGAAATTAAAAACTCAAACAACATGTCAAGATTGAAAGTTCAAAGGAAAATTAAAGGTATAAAGGATCATCTTTGTTAGAAAATACTGACTAACTTGGTAGTATGTTAGAAAAAATGTATAGTCATATTCTTAAAAAAATATTTGTGTCGGGGCTGGGGATGTGGCTCAAGCAGTAGCGCGCTTGCTGGCATGCGTGCGGCCCGGGTTCGATCCTCAGCACCACATACCAACAAAGATGTTGTGTCCGCCGAGAACTAAAAAAAAAAATAAATAATAAAAATTCTCTAAAAAAAAAAAAAAAAAATATTTGTGCATAAGCAACCAAATTAGCACACTAGGTAAATTGGCTAAATTGATAAATTAGTAAGTATGCTACATTTTTGTCAAATTAAAAACTTTTGTGATTCAAAAAACATTACCAAGGAAAGGGAGAAAGGAAGAAAAGATGACCAAGGAATAGGAGAAACTATTTGCAAATCATAAGGGTCTAATATCCAGAACATATGAAAAAGTCTTGCAACTTTAATGCTAGAAAGACAATCCAATTAACAAATGGGCAGAGGAGGTGTACAGACATTTCTCTAAAAAAAAAAAAAATACAAATGGCCAATAGGCACAAGAAAAGACACTCAAGATACTTAATAAGGAAATCACAACCACAATGAGATAACCACTTTATATCCATTAGGATGCCTATAATAAAACCGATAGAAAGCAAGTATTCACATGGCTTTGGAGAAATTTGAACTGGTGGGAACGTAAGATGGCACAGCAATTGTGGAAAAACACTCTGGTAATTCCTCAAAATATGAAGTATACAGTTGCCACAATCCAGTGTTTCACTCCTAGGTACGGACCCAAGAAAAATGAGAAAATACATTTATGCAAAAACTTGTACATAAGTTTATAGCAGCAGTGTTCATAATAGCTAAAAAGTGGAAGCAGACCACATGCCCACTAAATGATGATGGATAAACAAAAGTGATCTGCCAATACAATGGGACAGTATTCAGCTATCAAAAGAGATGAAGTACTGATGTCTGCTACAATGCCTGATGCCTCCTGTTTCCAAGGAGGAAACTTGGAAACATCATGCTAAGTGAAAGAAGCCAGACATAAAAGGCCACAAAATACATGGTCCCATGTAAATGAAAGGTCTGGAATAGGCAAACGTACAGAGGTAGTAATTAGATCACTGCTGCCAGAGRTGGAGGCAGTGGGGAATGACTGCTAATGAGTATAGAGTTTCTTTATGAAATTGTAAAAATGGCCTGCAATTAGAGAGTGGTGATGGTTACATAACCTTGTGAATGTACTAAAACCACTGAATTTAAAGGGTAAATTTTATGGCATCTGGATTATAGCTCAATAAAAAATGCAGAAAAAAATTTATGGGAGAGGAGGCTAAAATGATCCACGTGGTTATGGATTAGAGCTGGAAACATCAGTATAAATTCATGTTTGCCTGAAATCAATGCAGATGGCTGCACACAGAAACATTTATAGAAGTATATAAACTCAGGCCAGGATCCAGGRTCCACTTCCTTTCTGTCTACTGAGACTGTGGGAAGCAAGGACACAGGGCAATGAGTATACTTAGTACACAGATCCTGGCTACTATAACCATTCCCCAATAAAAAGAACTCTGGATCCCTGACAGGACCAGGGCAGGAAACACACGAGATGAGCCAGGCATCTTGCACTGCCATTAGCAAGGAAGTGCTCAAGACTCACACTCCACAATGCTGGGGTATGTCAAAGGGACACAGCAATCAGTGAAGGAGCCTCAAGTCTAGGCTTAATAATTTGAGCAACAAAATACATTAGTTTTTTGAATTACGATCCAAAGTATTAAAAAATTCCACAAATCCATGSTGACATGAATGACTGAATAAATAAATAAGTGGAAGAAAGAAGAACAAATTTCCCATATGGAAAGGCAAATGTTTTATGTAGATACTCCTCACTCTGGGAGGAAAGCCTAGCTCCTCACCCCTTCGGAGTGGGCTATGTGCTGACTTCCTTTCACAAAGTACAAAGAGGGGGTTTAAAAAAAGCACCCATGGTGGAGAAGCTGGACGACACCCGCAGCACAGCTCACAGGGGTCTGTACACTCCAGCAAGGCTGTGATGAAGTGGGTCCTCCACCTCTGGGTCCTCTTCCTGTAAGCCCACCACTCCACTCAAGT